AGCGCACAGCAGACCCCCGCTCTGCACCCTGCAGCCCCTTCCCAGCCCCACATCCCTCCCCACCTTGTTCTCCTCCAAGAACTTGAGCTTGATGGCCACATCAGCACGCAGCTTTTCGTACTTGTCCTTGTGGCTCTGGAACTGGCTCTGGGCTGCATCCAGCCGGCACAGGGTGCTGGCGTCCCGAGGGCCCATGCTCAGCTCCTCCAGGTCCGTGCGGTATGCATCGTACTCCAGCCTGTGCAGGACAGCAGGTGTCAGAGCTGCAGCCCCACAATTCCGCGCCCCAGAACGCCTGGCACCTAGCCCTGGCCCATGGGCCACACCGCTATTCTACCTGGCTGTCTCGTACTGCTTGACTGTCATGAGCGTGTCCTCCATTGTCTTGTTCACCAGTGTGTTGATGCTGGAGACAAAGAAGTTGACAGCCCCCAGTAGTGTTTCTCCGTTCTTGCAGAGCAGTTTCTGTGTTTCCGCGTTGTAACCAAACTCCTCCTGGGAGAGGAGGATGAGTCAGGGCCTGGACCAGCAAGACCCCCTCTCTCCTCCCACGCACCCAGGATCAGCCTGGCCCCGGGTGCTCCAAGGAGGCGCTGGGACATGGCCCTTGATGCCCTCCCCTGCCCTGCAGCCTTCACCAAGCACGTTTATCCCCATCCTCCTGCTTCACCTCACGCACCTGGGGTGCTGCAGAGCAGAGAGCCGCCCCCGGCTGTGCTGCAGAACCCGGGGTTGATTTGGGTGTCCAGGTCTCCTCCCCAGGCATGAGGGGATGCAGCACAGGCAGAGGCAAAGCACGCACCACCTCCCTGGCGGGCATACCTGCAGCTCGGGAGACTTCTGGCTGAGGTCCGCAAAGGCATCCCCCAGGGCGTGCTGTGTCTGCACCAGGCTGTAGAAGTGGTTGGTGAGAGCCCGCGCGAGCTGCAGCACACACTCGTATTTGCGCTTTGTCTCCCGGAGCAGCTCAATCTGTGTCTCCAGCTCCAGGTCCACGGTGCGGGAGCCCCGGCCAAACCGCTCTGAGATCAGCTGCTTGGTACACTGCAGGGCGAGGGAGGAAGGTGTGAGGAGGCCCCAGGTCCCTGGCTGACAGGGAGGAAGCCCTCCTTGCTGCTGTGGGCAGCGGGGAGCTGCAAAGCTGTCCCCATGAATTCTGTGGGGAGATCCCCGGACGCATCCTCCGCCTCCCGCTGCTCCTTCGCCCCTAGTGCAGGGGCTGGCACAAGCCTCAGCCTGCTGTGTGGCCCTGGCAGCGAGCTGGGCCATCCCGACAGTCCCGGGAAGCAGCTCACCTTGTACGTGTTGATACCCCATTTCTTGACAATGTCAAACTTCTCCACGGCGATGCCACGGACAACTTCCTCCCCTCCAACGGCTGGGCTGGGGTGGGGCTGGTGCAGCCCGGAGCCTGGAACAGAGACAGCCCGGTGTGGCATTGGCTCAGCAGGGCAGCAGCGCGCGCGAGGGCACAGGATGGGCTGCTCACCCAAAAGCAACGGTGCCTGCACAGCGGGGCACTGCAGCTGTGCCTGGAGGACTCAGGGCACTGCCAGGAGTGCAGGACTCCCAGAGGGCTGCAGTGGGGCTCGACAAAGCCCACGCCAAACAGACTCGCGATCCGGGCAGGCGGCA